GGAGGGAGGAAGGGAGACATTCACCAAAGGGACCTCAGTTGGGAAAATGCCTGTAGGTAAGTCAGTTGGCATTTTCTTGATTCATGAGTGATATGGGAGGACTCAGCTCACTGTGGGCAGTGCCAGCCTTGGGCTGGTGGTCCTGAGTTGTATAAGAAAGCACACTGAGCATGCCATGAGAAGCAAGCCAGTAGATACCACTCCTCCATAAGTTTTGGTTGGGTTCCTGTCTCCAGGTTTCTGTCTCCAGTGATGTGTGTTTCATCACTGACTTCCCTTAGTGATAGAGTGTGGCCCATGAGTGAGTTATAAGATGAAAGAAACCCATTTGTTTGCAAGTTTCTTTTGGCCATGGTGTTTGTCACAATAATAGAAACCCTAACTAAGACAGCTTTCAAATCTATAAAACATACATATTGGGCGGTTTTGTTTTCTCTGGATAAAAACTCAGTAATTAGTAATGACTTGTGCTAAACCTGTCTTTAAATGTTCTTTATAATTTATCTGTTCTCCAAAATCTTCACAACAACCATAATGAGTATTTTTTATTCTAATCCTCATTTCTGTTATGACATGGTTAGACAGAGGCATTCAAATGTTAAGTAAATTTCCCAAAGTCTTACATATAGAGGACTGAAAAACCCAAATATCAAGCCATCTAATAGCAGAATCTGTGTTCTCAAACAATGTCTTGTATTGCCCCTTTTCTCCTAGTTTCATTGTAGGATACTTGTGCTTCAATCAGCCATTCATTTTAATTAGCAGTTCTGGCCAGTGGCATGTAAGGCTTTGTCTTAAATATACAGAGATTTTTTTTTTTGGTATATTAAGCAGCACGTATGAAAATGTACTTCACAGCCTTGGCGTATCCGTTGTAAGTAGCTGAGCTAACTCGTCATCGTAAGAAGGTCATGGTATTTAATAAAGTGCTGAAACAGCGACTTGGACTGCCAAATAAATTTCAAGATCCCTATGGCACAGACCTACTTATGTCTTTACCAATGATTAAAAACTCATCTCAGTGAGGGCTGTCCTGGGTATAAGCCCTGTACTAACGTGTTCCATTGTGGTTTTGGGAGAATGGCTTTGTCAGCTGCTGGGTTTGCTTCTACATGGGTGAAACCTCACTCAGTTTTATGAGGCACCTAACTTCTGATGAAGGATGAAGAGTGAGGGACAGAGAGTTTCCAAGACTTAAGACAATACCAGAGCACAGCCTATACTTAACCTGCTTTATTTAACTGCTCCTGACAACAATGTAGTTTAGCATTGCAACAGGACTCCTAAGAAAAATCAGTTGTTTGGAAGAGACCAACAGGGTGCGTATTTCCCTGAGATCTTACGTAATATTTAAAATTTGGAAGGATGCTGGGAATATAATACCTCGTTTATGTTTTTGTTTACGTAGTTAGCAGATAAATTTCTAAAATTATCTCTTTGGATCTTACTTCTCTACAACTTGGAAGGCTGCTTTTTTCTTGCCTTTTTTGAGGACACTATGTATATAATGAGGAGGAAGGCTGTGAGAGGAAACATCTCAGGGAAACTACAATTCAGGAGTGGCTTCCTATCCAGGAGAAGCACATCAGATCTTGCTTTTTGATGCTTTGATATTCAGTGAAAATGAATGCTTGTCCTAGGAGCCCCCACCCCAATCTTTTAGTCCTTCCCATAGAGGTGGCAATATTTTCAGTTTCAATTCTGTTCCCCAGATTGTCTGCCTTATTCTTATAATAGGATTTGTAGTTCTAGGAACTGACAGCCTGTCCCAGAGATGACTGTGTTTTATCATGATCCATGCTATTCTCACAAACCAGGGATAAGTTGTTTCCTCACTAAGAATAAGAAGCAGATTCTATGTGTCTATGTGAGACAAGTTGTATTAAATGTGTGTCAAGTAGGAAGATAGATTTTTAAAAAGTTCCATCAATCCTGGCAGTCTTCATTGTTGAGACTGTTAGAAAGAAAGTGGGCATTATGACTGTAGAGCAAGCCATAGTTTTGGCTGCTGTGTTTTGCCAAAAAAAAAAATGTAATTTGAGATTCTGGTTACTTTCACAGCGCACAAAAATTGCTGTCGTTTTCTGTGGTACAACACTTAAAGGAAGAAATTCTGCTTCATGTGTATAATAAAACACCATATTCAAATTGAAAGATGAAAGTCATTCCATACCATATGTATTCTTACCTGAAAATTTAAATGAGGAAAAATCTATAAGTAATCCAGTTTGGCCTTTGAGCTTCTGATACAAAATGGTTTCAACGCTGTCCCAGAATTTTTCTACGTTATTGCTATAACAGGCTTTAAATTTCAGCACAACATGTAACACCACTTTCCCATTGGCTTTGCTGTAAAACATAAACAGACAGATTGTCATCTCATGATGGAACCCCTATCATTTTTAGCAGCAGGGTGGGGAGTTCATAAAGGGGCAATGGTTGACACAATATAGTAGAACTACTCTGTTTTGTGAACTGTGGAGTCCCTTCCAAGGGAGAGGAGACAATATTTTATGGATGTAATGAACGAGTTGTTTTATTTTTATATCCAGGGAAACTGAGTTTGAATTTTATATCTAGTATCTGCCACTATAATTATATAGCAAGTTGCTGTCATTCACTTTTCCTGGTTCTCCTCTCCAAAATGGAATGATGATCTTACTAGTTTTTAAAAAAAATCATTACAGATCAAGAGCTTCTTATTAATGGATATAGAAGAATTTTGAATATCACATTAGTGAATGAAAGTTATTTGTTAATACAAATAATTACAAATTCAGTATGAACTCTGTAGGGAGAACTGGTAGGAAATAATGAACAGAAAAACAGGTGAAAAGGAATCATTTATTATCCTTTGTTTTGTTTTGTTTTTGGTTTAAATGGAGTCACAGTTTACAACAGTGAGCCATTATCTATTTACCCGTGAATATCGGGACTAAGTGTTACAGAGGGAACTCATTTTACTTGTCATTCTAAATTGAAGATGCAAATGCATAAACTATACAATTTTTTTTTTTGGTTTTTTGAGACAGGATTTCCCTATGTAGTTACATTTTACGAGGAGGTAACTGTAACTGACTATAGAGAAGGCCTATTATTTATGGCTTTCTATCTCTGTGTCTTACAATGGCTTCCTAGAACTAAAATGCATTTCCGCATCTGAAAACCAACAATCTGGAGCTCTATGTAACTCACAACCCTATAGCACCCTCTTTCAAACCCTCAGAACACATGTGAACAAAAATAGAAACTGTGCTCAAGTTCCAGGATTCCCATAGTGACAACAAACCTTATTTCTATTATTTTCTTCTGTTATTTTTTTTAACGTGATTACTATGTTATGCCTTACTGGATAATTTATTTTAATTTGTTATAGGCTTGATTAATTTTAACTTAAATTTGAGCTTTAAACATATCCAGATTGACTTCCAATTGTATTTATTTTTAAAATATCTAGGGGGATAAAAAGGAAAATTTAAGTTTATAGGCATTTGTATAGTCTCATATATATTCAGCTAAATTCAATATAGTTTAAAATGCTGGTTATTTTTGTGGATCATGAAGGTTTAGAAACTTTTTGCTGTATTTTTGTATGATTGTTCTGATAGATATATGTAATTACTACATTTTAACAATGGTTTTCCCTACATGAATGATTGACTAAATCATTTTGGATACGTCTCTTCTTTCCTGAGAACCCCTTGACTTTAAGAATGCATCAAAATCAATTAATACTAAAGAATCATTTGAAATGAGAAGTTTGGTTTTATGCTTCTGTGTGTACCTAACCCTGGGCAGAAAAGGCAAACTACTACGTCTACATGGATATTAATTATTTAGTTCCCATATAACATCATGCACAGGATTTTTCTCATTGTATTTCAATAATGATACGGTATTTAAGTAGCAAGGGACAATATGACATATCTAATCAAAAGGGGAGGCTGTCTTACTTAAACAATAATCATTAGCATACTCAAGGACATTATTTCTAAGACAGAAGTCAGCAAAGGCCTCCTAGTTTTGTTCAAGTTGATGCTTCTACCTCATGATCACAGCTTGGTTCCATCTGGGGTCCAACAGAAGTCTGTGTTAGTTTTTGTCTACATGACTGTGTTATGCAGGGATATAGAAACTGAAGGTCCCCAGTACCTAGATTATCAGTTTTACATACCTTTTACCTACATACGCACTAATTAATGATTTAATTATCTAATTGGTTTCTCAATTAGTAATGAGAGTGTGAGTTGTATTTTATTCTTACTGAAACTTCCTAATGCCCAGCAGAGCTCACAACAGTTACTTGAAGTGATGAAGAATGAACACATATTTTAAAACTGAATTATATTAGCTCCATTCTAAGCTTATAGATGGAATATTCTGGATATTATTTCCTGTTGGGTTAAAAAAAATCTAGTGAGGTAGGGACACATAATAGGTGACAAATAGTTTTTGAAGGACCATTGTTAACTGGGATCTGCTTCTTTATGACAAAAAAATTATCTCCTTTATCCACTCTCCTTTCCATGGACCCCCTTGTCACAGAGGTGGGGTTCTAGGGACATAACTCCCCACATTGTCAAATATGTGAACTCCCAGCTGCTTGAGCTTCTTTCTATTCATACCAATCTCCCCTGATTCTTTGTTCTTTATCCATATATGTATGGACATCTTGACTATGGATAAAGCTGTGAGACTTGACTTCTGTAGGTCCCCAAACTTTGAAGGAGGGAAACCTAGTATGCACTATGGATGTAGTTTGTCAATATTTAGAGTCTGTTGCTAACTGCTAAACACTCAGTTCCTAGATCTTTTGCCATCTATTATTTATCATTTATTTTATCTATGTACTTCTTAATGAGAGATATTTTCAATATGTATCCCCATCTGGCTTAGAAATTGTAACCCCCCTTGTATCCTCAGCTTCCTAGTCATGGGGTTACGGGAATGTTCCACTATGCCACAAGAGCTTTTGTCCATTGTTGCCATGTGGTGTGGAGGACTAGGGTGGTAAAGGAATTTGATTTTTAAACAAAAATCCCTAAGTCCTTTTTTATGTGAAATGTCTCTACTTTGAATGAACTGGTTACAAAAATTATTTTTTTTTTTATTCAGTGTGTGTGTGTGTGTGTGTGTGTGTGTGTGTGTGTTAGCATTCATGTTATATCAGAATATATATTCATGTATATTGGGTCAGAGAACAGCTCTCTAGTGTCAAATCTCTCTGGGATGCTAGGATGGAAATTGGGTCACCAGGATGTGTCCCAGTGCTTCTACCCTATAAGTCATCTCAGTGACCCTCCTTTATTCATGTTAAAAAGTTTTAAGTATATTCTCAATTTTAGATATGCTTTTTGATTTTGTACCCTCAAATAAAAGCAGACCATTTAACTTTTATCTGATGCTCATAATTAGTTGGAATTCATGGTTGTAGTTTAGTCAATTTGTATTTTTACTGTTTTTAGATTTATTTATCTTACGTAATGTGTATGAGTGTTTTGCTTGCATGTATGTATGTGAACTATGTGCATGCAGTACCCAAGGAGGTCAGAAGAGGGTGTTGGATCACCTGGAATTGGAGTTATGGATGGGTAGTCAGCCACCATATGAGTGTTGGGAACTGAACCTAGTCCTCTGCAAGAGCAACAGGTGCTCTTAGCTGCTGAACCATCTCTTTAGTCCTGTAATCATTTTCTAAAAAGTGATAAAACATATATATATATATATATATATATATATATATATATATATATATGAAGCATGGGGAGTTTTACTACACTAAATTCAATTTTATTTCACACTTAAAGTTGCACACCACAGAAACACATTTTGTTGGGAAGCAATGTAGAGGTGAAGGTCAAACTGTTTCTCATGCTGCTATGCATACCTTACTTGAACAGTGTGAGATTTGACATACTGTTTTCTCAGGTTTGATTCATGGAATGTTTCATTCATCTAATAAAAAGAAAAAGGGTTAATGACATGGTTTTAGTTTTATTAAAAAGTTTCTATTACTTTTGAAGATTTGAAATACACCTAAAAACAAACAATAGTACAAAAACCATCATCCAGCTTGACCTCATATGCCAAAATATACTAAATTTTACTTATTTATAAATCACTTAAATTAAATTTTCATAAAATATATAATGTTCATGTCTTCCAAAAATCATGAAGAGCACATGGTAAGTTATAATATTCATTTTGAATTGGTGAATTCAATGGACTAGCGGATATTATGATATTATTTTATTCCATGTGAAAATTTTACTGAATATCAATGTAATAAAAGTTTGCAGTAATATGCATAGAGGAGATGTTTCTAAATTGTATGTGTGTGCATGCATTTGTGTGTATGTATGTATGCATGTGTGTATGTGTGCTATGGCAGACCTGTAATATCTATATGGCAGGCTATTTTTTCCTTTTCCAAATATATGTTATTGATAGGCTTAAAGGGAAATAGTATGGCATAGGTGTTATTAAAAGGGAGAGGGGAAAATGGGTGGGATACTTAACTGGGGGAGGGGAAGAAGGGTAATATGGAAAGAGAAGGGAGAGAGGAAATAACACTAAAAATGTTTGAAAAAGCCATGGGGAAACACATTATTTTATTAGCTTATTTAAATTTATTGTAACTTATATTGGAGTTACATTCACATGAGGTGATAATGTACCCCCCTCCCCCACACACACATACACAAGAGCTCTAGACTATCTAACAGAAACCTTAGTTCCAGGCATGTAAGACCTTCTTTTGAGTTGTTAGTCAGGAGCTTCTAAGAGACTCTCTAAACAATATAGGCTATTACTATTACCATTGATTGCCTTCCAGAAACTGAAAATAGGACTCTACTGCCACAGACACAAGTCATTTTGAACATAGGACTTAGAAGAATCAAATTAGAATTGACCTGGAAGCCTCCTCCCTGAAGATTAGCTCTCATAAAATCTAGAGGAAGTATACAAGCTGCCAAGGGTAAGAAGCAATCAGTAGTACTACCTATGGTGCAATGTGTGGCAGCCATATCTTGGGGAGAGAGATAGCCCACAGTTGTCTAGCTGGACTTAAGTCCTTCTTAGTCTGAGGGAATTCATGTCTGCTACTGTAAACATAGCCAATTATTGATGACTAGAGAGATCATAGACTTAGAGGAGAAACCACTCTTCCCATTTTTTCCTAAACTAATATAATTTCTAACTGTATTCTAAATACTTATCCATATGCCAACATGTGAATGTAGCTCTTAAAGAAGAGATTCTTTTTGCAGAAGATGGAGACTATTACAGAGATCTCAACTGGTCCACATGCAGAGAATAAATGGCAGTGGAGGTCCCCAAGCCCCAGTTGATACATCTACACTATAAACCCCATAGCTAAGTCCCAGGGAAATCACAGAAGAAGGTGTGGAAAAACTTAAGAGCCAGAGGACCAGGATGCCTGTTGTAAGATAATGACTTTTAGACTTAATAGGGAAGCTGTATTCATGAAATCTCAACAGCATGATTGCCTAAAAGAAGCTCTGCATAATGACCATACAAGTCAACACGAAAACATGGGTTGGGGATACTTTTATAAGACCCTACCCCTAGATGAAAACTTGCAGCCATTCAATGGCTGCTGAGAGGGAGAATTAGTTTTCTCCATGAATAAGAGACCTGGTTTTCCAAGTGTTCAGTCCCAATCACACGAACACACGAGGAACAATCAATAGACCTAAAAGTTTGTGTGTTTATGTGTGTAACAAAATTAAAGAAGAGTCTTGCATCTGACAAGGTGCTGGGGGCACAGGAAGTTAGGAGAGAGAGTGGAGGGGGCAGAAATTATATAAATACAGTATTCACATATGAAATTCTCAAAAATTAAAAGAATGCGATGCTATACAGAGAAGTCTTAAGAGAAATTTTATGTAAGAATCACTTTCTCAATCACGTCTCCATTTTCCAATGTAATGGATGACTTCCTACAACAGGACTTTCAGCATCACTAGATAAGGTTTGCACCTGCTGTAGTTTGCATGTTGGCAAAACACTCCTCATAAACATCATCAAGTTGGAATCAACAAACGGTTGAATTTTTATTTTTCTTTCTGCTGCCAAGTAATTGTAATAGTACATATATTCAATAAATAAATGTATTATCTTATGGAATAAAACTATAAGTATTCTTACTTTTTAAGTGATTTAGTGGAGGAGAGAGATAAATATATAAGTATAGTGGTTTGAGCTGTGATTGATATAAAGAATGTGAAATAATGAGATGGAGTGATTCAGGCCTCAGATAAGGCCTCTTTGAATGAGTGATATGGGAATGGGACCTGGAGGATGGAAAGTCGAAAGCAAAGAGAAGAAAAGGATAGTTTTCTAGGTGAAGAGAATAACAATTGTGAAGGTCACAGGTAAGAACAGACTGGTGTATTTGAGGGACTTATGACTCAAGTGACAATTGCAAAGAAGACATCATACAAGTTGTATTTGCACAATATGTAGAAATGAGATTTCAGAGGACCTTATAGGCCAAGGTAGCCTGGATGTTATTGGTAAGTTCAACAAATACAAATATTATGAATATTAATAATATTCATGAAAAATAAGCATATGTTCTATTCTTAATTCCAATATATCCGCCTCTCCTTGGAGTAGAGACAATTGATTTTTTTATAAGAATTAAGGAAATAGTGAGATGGCAAAAAACTTTCTTCTGCATGGATGAATCAGGAATCCTGAGAACGTTCTGTAAAGAAGGACCCACATCAACCCTCGGAAAGACTCAAGATATCTGTGGATACCCAGGAATGAAGTTGACTATGTTTTTTTTTAGATTTTTCTGTAGCTCCATAAAAGTCAATAAGCCAAAAGGCCAGTCTGGTCACATAGCAAGCTCCAGGCCAGCCAAAGTTACATAGTGAGACCATGTCTCAAAACAAACAAACAAACAAACAAAACCAAAACCAAACAGGAACTGCAAGGGTGAAGCAGTTCTATCAGTGCCGTGTGCAGAAAACAGCACAAGGTTTCTTTATGGGGCTTTTGGTGTGTAGAAGAAGAATGCCTTGGCCCCAGGTTAAGCTGGCAGGATTTACGAACATCTCTTTCCATCTCATGGGGTTGCCTTGGATAAAAAGGCAATGGCCAGCAACAAAAAGCAAAAATGAAAACAAAGGAAGTAGGCTGAGAACATAAACAGATTAAGTGTCCACCCAAACAGAGCTGCCAGAGAAAAGATCACAACTTGAACAACAATTGCAAAAAACATAAAATAAAAACAAATTTCAAAACTCTCACATTTAAAAATACTGAGATATATACATATATATAGAGAGGGAATTAAAATGCTAGTACTGAAAAACAAAAATTTCAAGATTGAAAATTTAGTAGTTCAGCCAGGTATGGTGGCACATGCCTGCTGTGGGATGTCCTGTATGGTGTAAATATGTGTTGCTAGGCTGGGCGGTGGTGGCGCACGCCTTTAATCCCAGCACTCGGGAGGCAGAGGCAGGCGGATCTCTGTGAGTTCGAGGCCAGCCTTGACTACCAAGTGAGCGCCAGGAAAGGCACAAAGCTACACAGAGAAACCCTGTCTCGAAAAACTAAAAAAAAAAAAAAAAAATATGTGTTGCTATGACTGATTGATAAATAAAACGCTGATTGGCTAGTAGCCAGGCAGGAAGGACAGTGTAGGCAGGACAAGGAAGAGGAGAATTCTGGGAGGTGGAAGACTGAGAAAGACAGCTGCCGTGATGAGGAGCAGAATGTAAAGTACTGGTAGGCCACAAGCCACCTGCCAAGGTATATATTTATAGAAATGGGTTAATTTAAGATATAAGAACTAGATAGCAAGAAGCCTGAGCCACATGGCCATACAGTTTATAAATAATATAAGCATTTGTGTGTTTATTTGGGTCAGCTGCAGGACTAGCAGGTGAGAGAGATTTGTCCTGACCATGGGCCAGGCAGGACCAGGAGATAACCCCAGCTACACATGTCTTTAGTCTCAGCATATGGGAGGCAAGGGCAGTGAACTCTATGAGTTTGAGGATAGTCTGATCTACAAAGCTAGTTACTAGGCTAACCAGTGTTGCATAGTGAGACCTTTTCTCAAAAATATACTTAGTAGGTCAATTGAAAAATACAAATTTCTGTTTTTGAGACATGAATTTATGATTTGAAATGCTAACTGGAGTAAATACCAACATCTCAACGTATTAATGATATTCTTTACTACATTTTCCAAGAGGTATTATGAAAAATTGTTGTTGATGGAGGTGGAGGAAGGGACTCAATTGAACTACTGGGGTAAATATGAGTTATTTTAACTTTTTGGATAGTTACAAGGAAGCATTTATTAAAATTATAATCTTATTAATTTTATAAACTTTAGTCTAGAAACTTCTCAAATGTGAAAAAATATAAGGATGAAGGTAGAATGGCTTTGTTTGTTTGTTTTACAGTGACTATTTATATTAGTCAAGGCCTAGATCCAGCAGGTATCCACAAATATAGAAACACTTAAAAACATAATGCTGTATGTAGTAATTAGAAAGAAAATCGCCCCCTGAATGGTCTTATAATAAAAACCTGGAGCCAGATATTTAGGCAAATGCTAAAAGATCAGAGGAAACAAGCCACAGCCACTTCTCACTTCGCCAACTCCTCAGCCAATCCTGTCTCCACGAATCCTCAGACTGAATGCTCCTGAGTTCTCTAGCTCCTGTCTCCTCATGCCTTATATGCCTTTCTCCACCTAGCCATATCATTTCCTATCTCAGTCTTCCTAGTGCTGGGATTAATGGTGTGTGTACTTTCCAAATACTGATAGCAAAGGCATGAGGTCTCAAGTGCTGGGATTAAATGTGTGTGCCACCACTGCCTGACCTCTATGTTTAACTTTGTGGCTGACTCTGTCCTCTGATCTTCAGGCAAGTTTTGTTTCTTAGATTACAAATATATCACGACAATTAAGAAGTGTGGCTTTGCTGGAGTAGGTGTGACCTTGTTGGAAGAAAAGTGTCACTGTGGAGATGGGCTTTGAGATCTTATATATACTCAAGCCACACCCAGTGTCTCAGTTTACTTCCTGTTGCCTTTGGATCAAGATGTAGAATTCTCCAGCGCCATGTCTGCCTGCACACCACCACACACATAGTAGTGTGCTCCCTGCCATGATGATAATGGACTAAACCTCTGAAACTCTAAGCCTCCACTTCAATCAAATATTTTCCTTTATAAGAGTTGCATGGTGTCTCTTCACAGGAATAGAAACCTTAAGACACTGTATCTCTACTAAAGAATGTTTTGGAATTGTTGAAAAGAATTGACCTTGTCATTGAGGAGACTCTATGAGGATTACTGAGAAAAATAAATAATTTAATGACACTGTATATAGTGAACCCATTTTGATGAAATACTGGAAAACAACATCTTTATATGTTTTGCATTTCTAAACATGTGAGCACAGTCAGGAGATGAAAAGAGAAGATAAAAATATGGGTTATTGGAGATCGAATTTGAAGATATATGTGAAGAGAAAAGGAAATTACAAAAGATAAGAGAGAGAGAGAGAGAGAGAAAAGGGGTCTGTATTTAAAATAGTTCTTTCATGGAAAATTTAGTTTTCTCTGATGGACTCTCACTGGGTATACAAACTACACTTAAAGGAGATTCTTTGGCCAGCAGTAGCTGGCCGACACAAAACAAACTCAATAGTATTGTCATATTACATATCACACTGTATATTCCTACCTCTGTTATAAATATCTTGTGTATTGTCACAATTTTAAAGTCATCATTCTTTACCATACATTTGCTTATAGACTGTTTACCTTGTTTACATGAAGCCTTAGTCCTTAGGCTATTTC